ACTTTGGGAGGCCGAGACGGGTCGATCACAAAGTCAAGAGATCAAGACCATCCTGGTCAACATGGTGAAACCCCGTCTCTACTAAAAATACAAAGATTATCTGGGCATGGTGGCGCATGCCTGTAGTCCCAGCTACTCGGGAGGCTGAGGCAGGAGAATTGCTTGAACCCAGGAGACGGAGGTTGTGGTGAGCCGAGATTGTGCCATTGCACTCCAGCCTGGGTAACAAGAGCGAAAAAAAAAAATGCAAAAATTAATTTGGCTGAGAATGGCACACACCTGTAATCCCAGGAACTAGGGAGGCTGAGGCAGGAGAATTGCTTAAACCTGGGAGGCAGAGGTTGCCGTGAGCTGAGATCGTGCCAGTGCACTCCAGCCTGGTGATAGAGCAAGACTCTGTCTCAAAAAAAAAAAAAAAAAAGAAAAAAGAAAAGAAAAAAGAAACTGCAAGAGAGAAACATAATTGTTACTGTTTTTTGACTCTAGAAATGATATACAGTGCTCACTTCGGCAGCACATATACTAAAATTAAAACGATGCAGAGAAGATTTTAGCATGGCCCCTGTGCAAGGATGACACTAAATTCATGAAGCATTCCATATTTTTTTAATGTTTTAAATTTAGGCTGGGTGCGGTGGCTCACACCTATAATCCCAGCACTTTGGGAGGCCAAAGCGGGTGGATCACGAGGTCAGGAGATAGAAACCATCCTGGTCAACAAGGTGAAACCCCGTCTCTACTAAATATACAAAAATTAGCTGGGCATGGTGGCGCGCGCCTGTAGTCCCAGCTACTTGGGAGGCTGAGGCAGGAGAATTGCTTGAACTCAGGAGGCAGAGGTTGTGGTGAGCCGAGATTGTGCCATTGCACTCCAGTCTGGGTAACAGCAGTGAAACTCCGTCTCTCTCTCTCTCTCTCTCTCTCTCTCTCTCTCTCTCTCTCTCTCTATATATATATATATATATATATATATATTTTTTTTTTTTTAATTTAAAAAAAATTAAAAAGAGATGATATACAATACTCTTAAGTTGTAAGGTCAAACTTTTATGGCTAATGTGCAATAGGAAGTTGGGGGAAGTGGTGGTAAAGTTTAATCAGGAAAGCAGGGATTTTTTTTTTTTTTTTTTTTTTTTTTGGTGGAGTCTCCCTCCCATCACGCAGGCTGGAGTGCAGTGGTGCAATATTGGCTCACTGCAACCTCCAGCTCCTGGGTTCAAGCGATTCTCCTGCCTCAGCCTTCCAAGTAGCTGGGATTACACGCATGTACCACCACGAACAGCTAATTTTGGTATTTTTTTTTCTTTTGAGACGGAGTTTCACTGTTGTTACTCAGACTGGAGTGCATCCGCCTCCTGGGTTCAAGCAATTCTCCTGCCTCAGCCTCCCGAGTAGCTGGGACTACAGGCGCGCACCACCATGCCCTGCTAATTTTTGTATTTTTAGTAGAGACGGGATTTCACCTTGTTGACCAGGATGGTCTCGATCTCTTGACCTCGTGATCCACCCGCCTCAGCCTCCCAAAGTGCCGGGATTATAGGCGTGAACCACCATGCCCAGCCTAATTTTTGTATTTTTAGTAGAGATGGGGTTTTGCCATATTGGCCAGGCTGGTCTCGAACTCCTGACCTCAGGTGATCTGCCTGCCTTGGCCTCCCAAAGTTTTAGGATTACAGGCTTGAGCCACTGCACCTGGCCAAGCAGGGACTTTTATTTATTTATTTGCTTGTTTATTTATTTATTTATTTTTGATACAGGGTCTTACCTTGTCACCCAGGCTAGAGTGCAGTGGCAGTGCAATCCTGGCTCACTGTAGCCTACACATCTCAGGCTCAGGGATCCTCCCAACTCAGCCTGCTGTCCAACTTTGTTTTGTTTAATTTTTATTTATTTTATGTATGTATGTAGGTAGGTGGGTATTTTTTGAGATGGAGTCTCACTCTTGTCCCCTAGGCTGGAGTGCAGTGGCACAATCTCGGTTCACTGCAACCTCCGCCTTGTGTTCAAGCCATTATCCTGCCTCAGCTTCTGGAGTAGCTGGGATGACAGGCGCATGCCACCACACCCAGCTATTTTGTTTGTTTGTTTGTAGAAAGTGATTTATTTAAAGAGAGAGAGAAACAGGAGAAGGAGAGAGAAAGAAACAGTTAACTCTCACACTGAGTGAGAGAATCCAGAAAGATGGAATCCAGGAGAGGAAAGCAGCTTCCACCCTGAGTGGAAAGGAACAGAGAGAGATGGAGTTTAGGAGGGGAAGACAGGCATCCATGAGAGAGTGTGGAAAGGGATTCCAGAGGGAAAATCCAGGAGAGAGAAAGACGGCTTCCATGAAGGGAGTGTTCATGGAAGGGGATCCAAACATGGAGTCCCACATTTTCATATTTTTATTAGAGACAGGGGTTTCACCTGTTGGCCAGGATGGTCTCGATCTCTTGACCATCCTTGAGCATCGTGATCCACCCGCCTGGGCCTCTCAAAGTGCTGGGATTGCAGGCGTGAGCCACCATGTCAGGCCTATTTTTATTTTTCTTTGAGGTGGAGTCTCCTTCTGTCTCACAGGCTGAAATGCCGTGGTGCAATCTCAGTTCACTGCAACCTCCACCTCCCAGGTTCAAGCAATTCTCCTGCCTCAGGCTCCTGAGTAACTGGGACTACAGGCATGTGCTACCATGCCCAACTAATTTTTGTATTTTTAGTAGAGACCGGGTTTCACCATATTGGTCAGGCTGGTCTGGAACTCCTGACCTCAAGTGACCCGCCCACCTCAGCCTCTCAAAGTGTTGGGATTACAGGCCTGAGCCACTACACCAGCCCTGACTCCTTTTTTAATTGTTTTGTAGAAAAAAAATTGTTTTGTAGAGAGGAAGGGTCACTATATTGCCCAGATTGGTCTCACTCTCCTGGGCTCAAGCAATCCACCTGCCTTTAGCCTCCCAAAGTGCTGGGATTACAGGTATGAGGCTCTGTACCCAGCTGAAAGCAGGGACTTTTAAAAAATTGTTTCAGATTTATCTTTTCTTTTGGCTTGAGTAATACGGTATTATTATATTTTTTTCACAAAAACTGGCCAGTCATGGTGGCTTATGCCTGTAATCCCAACAATTTGGGAGGCTAAGGTGGCGGTATCCCTTGAGGACAGGTGTTCAAGACTGATCTGGGCAACATATTGAGATCCCATCTCTACAAAATATATATATGTGTGTGTGTGCACGTGTGCGTGTGTGTATACATACATATAAAATTGGGTGTGGTGGTGTGTGCTTGTAGTCCTGGCTACTTGGGAGGTTGAGTAGGAGGATGGCTTGAGCCCATGAGTTTGAGGCTGCAGTGAGCTGAGATTGCACCACTGCACTCCAGGTTGGGTGACAGAGCAAGACCTTGCCTTAAATGAAAGCAAATTAAATAAACCGGGCACAGTGGCTCATGCCTGTAATACCAGCATTTTGGGAGGCTGAGGTGGGCAGATCACGAGGTCAGGGGTTTCAGACCAGCCTTGCCAACATAGTGAAACCCGGTCTCTACTAAAAGTACAAAAAAATTAGCCAGGTGTGGTGGCAGGCGCCTGTAATCCCAGCTACTCAGGAATCTGAGGCAGGAGAGTAGCTGGAATCCAGAGGCGGAAGTTGCACTGAGCTAAGTTTGCACCGTTGCACTCCATCCTGGGTGACAGAGCAAGACTCTGTCCCCAAAAAAACAGAAAACAAAAAAAAACAATTGTTAATTTCTGGAATTTTCCATGGAATCTTCAGACCACCAATAACCTCTGGTAAGGAGTGAACTACTGTGATAAGAAATATATTTAGTCTGAGTCCCCAGCTCCTGTCACATAGCTCCTAAAACTGTAGGAATATCCTGAGTGTTAGAAATGTCTTAGTTATTCACAACAAACCCCATCAGCACTCCAGAGTTTATACTAAAAAGGTGATTTAGGGTGGGGACCCAAAGAAGCCTTAGGGTAGGGCTGGTCAACCGGTGATTAGAAGATTAGAAATGCAGAGGGGGTAGCGGAGGGAGGAGGGAGGTAGTGCTGGAGATGATGCTATTAAAACTTTTGGAGGCCAGGCAGGGTGGCTCACGCCTATAATCCCAGCACTTTGGGAGGCTGAGGCGGGTGGATCACAAGGTCAAGAAATCGAGACCATCCTGGTCAACATGGGGAAACTCTACTAAAAATGCAAAAATTAGCTGGGCATGGTGGCGCACGCCTGTAGTCCCAGCTACTCGGGAGGCTGAGGCAGGAGGATTGCTTGAACCCAGGAGACAGAGGTTGCAGTGAGTCGAGATCGGGCCATTGCACTCCAGCCTGAAAACAAGAGCAAAACTCCGCCTCAAAAAAAAAAAAAAAAAACTTTTGAACAAGGAAATTCGATGAGCTTCAGAGTTGCTGAACACTTGGAGCTGCTGGGAGGTCAGTATGCCCACTTAGGGAAGCTTTGTGACACCTCCTTTTACAACCATGCCCTTTGCATGTCTTCTTGCAGTGATCATCTGTGTCCTTCATAATACATTGGTAAACATAAGCAGAGCATTTGCCCTGAGTTCTGTGAGCCATCCTAGCAAATCATCAAACCCGAGAAGAGGGGTTGTGGGACCCCTGATTTATCGTCGGTCAGAAGCACAGGTCACATTTGGGACTTGTAATTGGTATCTCAAAATAGCAGCAGTTTATTTTTATTTTTTTTTAGGCTAGTCAAGTGAAGCAGTGGGAGTGGAGAAGGAACAAAGAAATCTGTAACTGGTTGTGATCAATTAGTTGTAAACACCACTGCACTCGGACCAGCCAATAGCAGTAGTTTTGTGGGACTGAGCCCCTACATGTAGGTTCCAGATAGCATCAGAATTGAATTGATTTGTAGGACACCCAGTTGGCATCTGCTGGAGAATTTTGGTGTGTGTGTGAAAACCCCCATAAATCTGATAAATATTCTGAGCTGTGTTCAGTGTGAGCAGAGAGAAAAAACTTTTTTCCTTTTTTTTTTTTTTATAATTCAATAATTCAGTCTCAGTAGAGAATGTCAACAATTGCCAGTGCCAACTATATTTCAAGTCTTCATGGCGGAATATTGGGAAAAGTTTTCAATTAGCAATAATCACGCCTCAAATAAACCTCATTGGCTATGATACTGCCACTGCGCAAAGCTACTTTTTCCCTTAATTTGTGACAGTAAATGCCAATTCTTGAATAGGTGCTCAGTGCAAGTTCTCTTTGGTAGTTCTCTGGTCATTCCCTTGGGGTCTTTTTTTTTTCTTTTTTTGGTGCCATGACTCAGATGGTTCTTTTCTCTTTTACTTTTTTCTTTTTTTGGAGACGGAGTCTAACTCTGTCGCCCAGGCACAATCTTGGCTCACTGCAACCTCTGCCTCCTGGGTTCAAGCAATTCTCCTGCCTCAGCCTCCTGAGTAGCTTTGACTACAGGCACTCACCACCACACCCAGCTAATTTTTTTTTTGAGACGGAGTTTCACTCTTGTTACCCAGTCTGGAGTGCAATGGCTCAATCTCAGCTCACAGCAACCTCCGCCTCCTGGGTTCAGGCAATTCTCCTGTCTCAGCCTCCTGAGCAGCTGGGATTACAGGCACGCGCCACCATGCCCAGCTAATTTTTTGTATTTTTAGTAGAGAGGGGGTTTTACCATGTTGACCAGGATGGTCTCGATCTCTTGACCTCGTGATCCACCCACCTCGGCCTCCCAAAGTGCTGGGATTACAGGCTTGAGCCACCGCGCCCAGCAGGTTTTTGTATTTTTAGTAGAGATGGGTTTCACCATGTTGGTGAAGCTGGTCTCGATTTCCTGACCTCATGATCCACCCACCTCGGCCTTCTACGGTGCTGGGATTACAGGTGTGAGCCACTGAGCCCTGCTTCTTTTTTTCATTTTAAATAATGTTTTATTTTATTTTTTTGACAGAGTCATGCTCTGTCACCCAATCTGGAGTACAGTGGTGCAATCATAGCTTGCTGCAGCCTTCAACTCCTGGGCTCAAGCAATTTTCCTGCCCAGGCCTCCTGGGTAGCTGGGACTACAAGTATAAGCCACAGTGCCCAGCATCCTTGAGTTTTTTCTACTTGAAATTTTTCTTTCTCCTTTGGATTCCCCACCCAACTCACAGCATCTTTTTCAATGCTACTGTTGGCTTCTGCTGCTACAGATGTATCTTGCCCAGCTACCCCCACTATCCCCCAGGACCATGCAGGGTGTGCTGTTCTAGATCACCAAGGGACAACTGACTCTTTACTACCTACTATTATATCACCTACATATCTATTGAATTTATTTTTTATTTTATTTATTTACTGAATCACGGTCTTGCTGTGTTGCTGCTCAAACCCCTCCCAGGTCAGCATCCTGAGTAGCTGGTCCCACAGGCATGCGCTACCTGGCCCAACTTCATTTCTCTCTCTCTCTCTCTCTCTCTCTCTCTCTCTCTCTCTCTCTCTCATCAGACCCTGATCTCCATATAGGAAATAATGAGTCTTTTTTTTTTTTTTTGAGACGGAGTTTCACTCTTGTTACCCAGGCTGGAGTGCAATGGTGCAATCTCGGCTCACCGCAACCTCCACCTCCTGGGTTCAGGCAATTCTCCTGCCTCAGCCTCCTGAGTAGCTGGGATTACAGGCACGCGCCACCATGCCCAGCTAATTTTTGTATTTTTAGTAGAGATGGGGTTTCACCATGTTGACCAGGATGGTCTCGATCTCTTGACCTCGTGATCCACCCACCTCAGCCTCCCAAAGTGCTGGGATTATAGGCATGAGCCACCGTGCCTGGCCGAGTCTGCCTTCTTTAGTTACTATATCATTTATATTACCAGGACGATTCCTCACTAACACTTAGTGTTACCAAACTTTAAAATTTTGGCCAATGGAGATTATATTCTTTTATTTATGTGTTTATATTTATTTATTTACTTACTTGAGACGGAGTTTCGCTGTTGTTGCCCAGGGTGGAGTACAATGGTGAGATCTCACTGGCAACCTCTACCTCCCAGGTTCAAGCGATTCTTCTGCCTCACCCTTCTGAGTAGCTGGAATTACAAGCATGTGCCACCATGCACAGCTAATTTTTTGTATTTTTAGCAGAGATGGGATTTCTCTATGTTAATCAGGCTGGTCTCGAACTTTCGATCTCAGGTGATCCTCCTGCCTTGGCCTCCCAGAGTGCTGGGATTACAGGCGTGAGCCACTGAGCCCTGCCTTTTTTATATATATAAATTTTTTGAGACAAGTCTTGTGCTATTGCCAGGCTGGAGTGCAGTGGCATGATCTCAGCTCACTGCAACCTCCACCCACCGAGTTCAAGCAATTCTCCTGCCTCAGTCTCCCAAGTAGCTGGGATAACAGGCACATGCCACCATGCCCAGCTAATTTTTGTATTTTTAATAGAGATGGGGTTTCCCCATGTTGGCCAGGAAGGTCCCTATCTCTTGACCTGGTGTTCCGCCCACCTCCAAAGTGCTGGGATTACATACAGGAGTGAAATTATATATATATATATATATATATATATTTTTTTTTTTTTTTTTTTTTTTTTGAGACAAAATCTTGCTTTGTTGCCCAAGCTGGAGTGCAGCCCACTGCAACCTCTGCCTCCTGGGTTCAAGCGATTCTCCTGCCTCTGCCTCCTGAGTAGCCGGGACTACAGGCATGCACCACCATGCCCTGCTAATTTTTGATGTTTTTATTAGAGATTGGTTTTCACTATGTTGGCCAGGCCGGTCTTGAACCCCTGACCTCGTGATCCACTCACCTCAGCCTCCCAAAGTGCAGGGATTACAGGCATGAGCCACCGCGCCCGGCCCTGAGATTATATTCTTTAGGAAAGACTCTCTACATGTATATGTGTGTTTGAGGAAAGTATGATATATTATAAAAATCATTTCCAGGCTGGGCTCGGTGGCTCACACTTGTAATCCCAGAACTTTGGGAGGCCAAAGCGGACAGATCACGAGGTCATGGGATCAGTATCATCCTGGCCAATAAGGTGAATGTAAGGTTTATTGCCGTGTTTAAAATGAGGAAATTGAGGCCAGTATAAGAAAATGAAAATCTGGGCCAGGCGCGATGGCCCATGCCTGTAATCCCAGCACTTTGGGAGGCTGAGATGAGTGGATCATGAGGTCAAGAGATCGAGACCATCCTGGTCAACATGGTGAAACCCCGTCTCTACTAAAAATACAAAAAATTAGCTGGGCATGGTGGCACGTGCCTGTAATCCCAGCTACTCAGGAGGCTGAGGCAGGAGAATTGCCTGAACCCAGGAGGCGGAGGTTGCGGTGAGCTGAGATCGTGCCGTTGCACTCCAGCCTGGGTAACAAGAGCGAAACTCCATCACAAAAAAAAAAAAAAGAAGAGAAAAAGAAAATCCAATTTATTCAGCTCCCGGGCGAGGTTCCATGGTCCCAGGGAAAGGGGCCAGGGAAGTCATGTCAACTTTCTGGGGCGTGGGGTTTTTATGGCTAGAAGGAATGAGCAACAGCTGGGTGCTCTGATTAACTCCAGGAGAGTGGAATTGAGATGGGGCAGGCCGCTATTGGTTGGCAGGTTGTTGGGCAGGTTTTCCAGTGGGAGAGCTGGCCAGGAGCCTTGCATCAGCTTGAGCCTTCCAGGGGAGCCATGCGGCAGAGCTAGGTGCCGAGTGCAGAGCCTGGTGCCTGGTGCAGAGGTGGGTGTGTCCAACCTCCCGGCAAGGCAACCGGCATTACAGTGAAACCCTGTCTTTACTAAAAATACAAAAAAATTAGCTGGGCATGGTGGCGCACACCGTAGTCTCAGTTACTCAGGAGGCTGAAGCAGAAGAATTGGTCGAACCCAGGACACGAAGATTGCAGTGAGCCAAGATTGCACCACTGCACTACAGCCTGGGTGACAGTTTGAGACTCTGTCGCAAAATAAATAAATAAATAATGATCATTTCGCCCCCTGCCATGTCACTAGCCAAGATAATTCAGTAAGCAGAGTGGTTAAGATGATTTAGAGATAGAGCAGTCAGTAGTAATAGTAAAATGAGAAATAACTTGAAAGGGAATTAGAGTTATATTTCTATGAGTTAGATAAGTGCAGTTCTGATACTCTATGACATAATCTTCATACCTCTTTATTTTTTTTGAGACAGAGTCTTGCTTTGTTTCCCAGGCTGAAGTGCAGTGGTATGATTTCCACTCACTGCAACCTCCATCTCCTGGGTTCAAGCAATTCTCCTGCCTCAGCCTCCCAAGTAGCTGGGATTACAGGCATGTGCCACCATGCCCAGCTAATTTTGTATATTTTTAGTAGAGACGGAGTTTCTCCGTATTGATCAGGCTGGTCTTGACCTCAGGTGATCCACCGGCCTCGGCCTCACAAAGTGCTAGGATTACAGGCGTGAGGCACTGCACCTGGCTGTCAATGTGGTTTTTAATATCATCTACATGCTGATGACTCTCAAATTTGTTTCTCCAAGATAATTCTCTTTACCAAACTTGAAATTGTGCCAGACTTGGCCAGTGGAAGGTAGCTGACCAGTGTACCAGGTCTTTTATGCAGTTCAACATACACAGCGACACCAAGGTAAGACAAATCCATCTCCCTCCCTGGATCCTGATACAGTGATTGTCTTCTTCTTTTTTTTTTTTTTAAGACAGGTCTTCACCATATTGGCCAGGCTGGTCTTGAACTCCCGACCTCAGGTGATTCACCTGCCTTGGCCTCCAAAGTGTTTAGATTACAGGTGTGAGCCACCACGCCCGGCCTCCAGTGACTGTCAAAGCCAAAAAGAACTGGGGTAGGGTGCTTGATCATGGGGAAGGCTGTTGTGGTTCGCCCGGCAGATGGGAAAGGGGGAAATTTTCACTTCTTCACAATTTGAATGACATCCTCGTCCTCCAACATATGGTCTTTACCCATTTTCTGAGGATTGTGTTTCACAGAGAGACCCCAGACCGCAGCATATTTAAATTCTTTGATAAGATTTTTGTGAATCTTCATGCAGAAATCCTCCACTGTGGTCCTGGAATAAGGAAGCACCACTGGGGATGTGTAATCTGGTAACTGGCCTTTGCGTTTGGTGTAAATTCTCACTAGTTTCAGATAGTCCCAGATCTTTTCCAATAGGTCATCAAAATTCCAATGGTGATAGACAGAGATGGGTACACAGTGAGGCAC